TTTTTTTTTTTTTTTTTTTTTTTTGGTACCGGGGATTGAACTCAGGGCCTTGTGCTTGCAAGGCAGGCCACCGAACCGCTGAGCTAAATCCCCGGTCCCTCACTTTGTAATTCAGGCTGGCCCTGAACTCACTATGTAGCCCAGTCTAGCCTCGGAACTCACAGCAGTCCTCCTGCCTCTGCTTCCGGAGTGCTGGGATTACAGTTGTGTGCCACCACGCCCAGCTTAACTACATTCTTATGGGGAGTCATTTAGGGTCGCATTTTTTTTCTGTCCCAACAATGATTTTGTAATCAGTACTTATTTAGAAAAAGTACATGAGTTGTATGTTTGCTTAATAATTGGAAAATTTTTCATCTGTCCTTACATGAGACCGGGTGTTTGAGTATAGAATACTTTTGAGGTAAGATTCATATAACATGATAAATATTGTCAACCTAAAATTAACAACAGAGAGACCTCTCCAAACCAGAGGCAGTTGCTGTCTGGGGCATGCTTCTGGGAAGCTTTTGATGAAAAGTCCACTCAGCTGTCTTGAAGACCATTGGTTATGGGGCTTGTTACAGTAGTTGGCGATACCTTATTAGTGGAGAAGACTGTGTGGTGTCTAAGCAGCTTACCTGGAGTACAGTAACCTTCCCCTTACACTATATGTTCCGGGACTCCCAGTGGGTACCTGAAGTTTGAGGTAGTACCAAGTTCTATATATACTGGTTTTCCTTATACAGTAGATACATATGTGTGATGAAGTATAATTTTTAAGTTAAGCACAGTAGATCAATAACACATTAACTGCAAAACTAATTGGAATTTATTTTTCCTTAATCCACCTTTTCAGTTAAAGGATTCACTTTATGACATTTCTTGGTGTATCTAAATTCCCACTATTGCTGTTCTTGCTCTCTGGGAGCATTATTAAGTAAAATAAAGATGACTTGACCACAAGCACTGTGATACGGCTATAGTCAGTCTGGTATCCTAGGTGGTTACTGAATGACTAGCAGGGAGGTGTAGTGTATATAAATAGCCATGGATGTGCTGGTTATAGATGTGACTCATGTCATGGGCCAAGCAAGATTTGCTCAGTGTTCAGAACATGCACAATTTGAATATGAATTGTTACTTTTACTCTATTATTTTATTGTTTATTTCATTTTGCATAATTATCTTAATTTGGTTTATTATTCTGGTTAATTTCAGGCCACAGTTGGTGGATGATTGAAACTGGATAAGTGAATACAGTAACACTGTACTGTGGTTTTGAGGAATTTCTTATGTAATTTTTGTCAGTTACACATGAGTAAGTTTGTGAGGACCCCTGTTTCATGACCATCTGGCTCCATTTTGTCAGGGGACATTAGTGACTCCATTTTAATAACTTTTACAGACTAGATTTTAACCCAAAATTTGAGTTTTGACCAGTATAAATACTCTTATAAACCATATCCCAATTGAGATATCCAGTGTCTAGGTACAAACATGATTGTAGTTTTTATCACTATAAATTCATATAAATGGAATCCCTTTGAGTCTCTTTAATTCAGTTTGAGTTTTATCCATATTTTTGTGTATATCACCAATTCATTTTTTAATTGATCAGTATTTGTGAGACTATATTAAAATTTGATTGTCCATTCACTATTGATGAACATTTCAGTTGCTTTCAGTTTTGGGGAATTTTTGTTGTTGTTTTTTGGTACCAGGGATGGAACTCAGGTCCTTGCGCTTGTGAGGCAGGTGGCAGAACCACTGAGCTAAATTCCCAGCCCTAGTTTTGGGGAATTATGAGTGAAGTTGTGAGCATTTATATATGTATGTTCTTGTGGACGTATGTTTTTTATTTCTTTTGGATTAATAACTAAATGTAGATATGTTGAATTACAGAGTAATGGTCACCTTAGACAGTAGTTTCTTTGCATTCCTCTTTTTTGTTTTTTACTATGAGAACATTTTATTTGCTTTTTTAATATTGTTGGGAATGTGCTTATGTATTCTTTTGTTACTTGTTTTTAGTCTCAACATTGTTTTAGAAAATTTAGTATTTAGGCACTTCCTTCCATTAGTTCTAGAGTCTTCCTTTTTATCTGTGTGTCTTTTCCATATGTCTTTATTTGCAGTTACTGTATTTAGTTAAGTGTACTTAAATTTTTGTAAGCATAAGAAGCATTTGTTGTGGCATTTCATTGTTGTTATCTGTGTTCTGGTGCCCTTATACAACATTTCATATTTCCTAGGTTATTACTAGTATAGTCATGTCATTCAGAAAGGGCACTTATTTCAACAAATTGTCCAGTAGACAGGACTAACCAATCTGTTCTGTTTGTTTGTTTGTTTTTTTGTTTTTTGAGACAGGGTCTCACTGTAGTTCAGACTGATCTGGAACTCACTATGTAGCCCAGGCTGGTTTTGAACTCATAGCAGTCCTCCTACCTCAGCCTCCAAAGTGCTGGGATTACAGACGTGTGCCACCACGCCCAGCTTAATCTGTTCTTTACATCTTTTTGAATTGGGTGATTTCTCTGCCTAGAAGAATTTGAAATGCTGTATTTCTAAACTGAAGACATTTGCATATAAAGAAATAATTTTTAATCAGTGTATAATATGCCGTGTTTTAGATGTGCTGTTATGTCTTGTGCTCGTGAGTAATCTTACCATTTTTATGTTCTTACCTCAAACAGTTAATGAGGATTTCTTATCTTCTATGCTTTGAATAAATGGTCAAAAGCCATTTCTATCTGAAACACAGTTCCCACTTTCCACCAGCATGGAGACAGTATAGCATAATTTAAGGAGCTTTAACTTGTAATCAGATACCCTTATAGCTTGACTGTGCTGCTTCCAGCCTTGTAAGTCTGGAACATTGCTCAAATCTTTAGGACTTCAGTTTTCTGTTGGTATAATGGAGATAATTTCAGCTCTGCAGGAAGAACCAGTAAAACACTAGGACTCTACAGAAATGGAAGAGAAACAGTATCCTAGATGCTGAAAGAAATAAGTGTTTTTGGGGTGGAGTGATCACCTACAGCAGAAGTAGATCATAAAATAATTTAAAGGGTCCAGGAAGTGATGGTATTATGTAAGAATGCGAGGTCAGTGGGTTTCTTCTTTGAAGTTCTTTGGTAGAATGTTAATATTTACTAAGTTGAATGGGTTTAGCTAAGAGAAGGCAGAACCATACACAAGCCTTGCTGTAGAGTGATGAATGAGGCAAGGCAGCTGGAGATGGAAATGAGCCCAAGCCTTATTTATTTATTTATTTATTAAGAGGGGAAGTAATACTGTATATGTGTGTGCTGAAGATCAAGATCCAGCAGATGGAGATGATGAAAGGAGAAAATTGCCAAGGTGCTGTCCTTGAAGAGGCAGGATGATGGGATGAGTTTGTGTCCAATCAGATTCAGTGCTAAATTGTACACAGTTTGTTCATGATAAACAAGAGTATAGATGGGTGTAGGTGGGCGTTTATAGAAAATTCTTCTGACTTCCTTTTTCAGTGAGAAAATACAAGTAAGGTCATCAGCTGAGAAGGAAGCTAGAGAAGTAAAAGTCTAACAGGTTTGAAGAGATAAGCCACTAGGAGTCCAGGACAGACTTGGAATTTCCAGTCTCATTTCTGGGCAGCAATTTTGGTACTTGCTGACGAGCTCATTTTTTCACAGGGTTATGCGTTTTACCCTGGTTATATTTAGCTGTGTGGGTATGTATGGAGTAAGTAAAGAATTTGTTAAACAAAGATTATATATCCAGAAGAATATGATAAGGTGAGATAAGGATGAGGGATTTCAGGAAAATGAATAGTATGATATTTAAAAATAAGCAGTATAGACAATATGTCTTTATTATTAACTGATACTTAGTTCATCGTCAAATTTCTCTGATTTTCATAAATGTCTTTTTGCGCTTTATTTGTTGAAATTCCTACTACTTTTTTTTTCCCCCTTTGGTTTTTGAGACAGAGTCTCACTATGTAGTCAAGGCTGACCTGGAACTCAGTATGTAGCCCAGGCTGGTCTCGAACTCATAACGATCCTCCTACCTCAGCTTCCCAAGTGCTGGGATTGCAGGCATGCACCATCACGCCTCGCGAAATTCATACTACATCTGATTGCTGTGTCTGTTAAATAATTTATTCCATCTGTTCCTCTCATCCCTGTTTTTATATGCCATTTGAAGAAATTGGGTCTTTAACCATGTAGAGCTGTCTGTATTCTTCATCTTGTTAGCTGTGAAAAGTTTTTAAAGTTTTAAATTGTAAAATATGTTTAAAAGTACCATCATAACCAAGCATACAGTTCTGTAGTATGCAGTTTTAAGTGTATTCAGGTTATTTTAAGTGTGTTTCTCTGTTTCCTTTTCTGTAGACTGGTGCCAGTCTAGAGAGGCTTTATTGCTTCAGGTTCATTGTTGATGTTTTAGTGAAGAAGGGCAAGGACCCTACTGCCTGTTAGTATTATGTGCTTCCTGTGGTCTCGTCAAGGAGGCACAGAATGGCTGCTTGTCTGAATGAGACTGATTGTTGCCTTCAGGTCTTGCAGTTAATTTTTCTATGGTTTCCTCTGCTCCCCCAGTGGTTTTATTAACTGTTAATGATCATTGCCTGAATTCATTATTTCATAAGTAGTTATAAAATAATGATTTTTCTAATTATGTAACTCTTTGCATTTATTAGCTGGAGTTCTGTAAAGAACATTCACTCACCTAGTTTCTGGCAGAAATGCACAATAAATGCTTTGGTTTTCCAATATTCGGGTGACTTAGTTGATTTTATTTTAGTTAAAAGTTTTAATTCAAGCCAGGTGTAGTGGTGCATGCGTACAGTCTCATTGCTCTAGAAAGAAGATCACAAGTTTGAGCTCAGCCTGGTCATCTTGGTGAGACCCTGTCTCAAATTTTAAGAAAGTAAGAAGGACTGGAGTTGTGACTCATTATGAAGGGTTTGGATTCAGTCCCCAGTAGTGCAACAAAAAGTATCCATGCAGTTCATGATTCAGATGTAGGTGTTATTGTAGTACTTGGATTGTCCTGTTTAGCCAGCGGAACCCTGTTTACACTAGTGCTTGTCTTCTCCACAACTATCACGCCCCTAGTGACTTCAAGGCTTGTTTATATGTGTCTAATCCTTGACTTGGAATCATTGATTTCTCCAAAGAATTCATAATGCCTTAAGGTGGGAAATGGTATTTATAGATCATAATACGGGTGTCTGCTTTTAAAAGGTTTTGTTCTATATGTTTGGCTCTTCAAAATTCTGATTAGTTTCTTTGCTTCATTCATTAGGTATGCCCAAAGAAAAATACGAGCCCCCTGACCCTCGGAGGATGTACACAATTATGTCCTCTGAGGAAGCAGCAAATGGAAAGAAGTCACATTGGGCAGAGCTTGAAATAAGTGGTAAGACATGGAAGCATGAATTTATGGTATGGAAATAAAGATACGGTAGAAAATTCAGTTTTCTAAAGCCAGTAGTGATTGTAATTTACAAATGCCAATTTTTCTTAGAAGCAGAAAGATTCATTGGAAAGAACATGGTTTGAGTCAAAGTTCAAAACCTATCGTTTATTGTCTTATTTTCAGAGTCCCTTTATAAAATAGGGATAATAATATCAAAAATGAAAATGGGACATACGAAATGCCTAGTGCCCAGAGGTTTGTTCTGGTAGTTAATTCTCTGATAAAGTGGGATTAAGCTTTTGCATTTTCAAATAATACATTTCTAATAGGGTAAAATGACTATTCTGTATAGGTTTGGGGATAGTTTTATTTTTCTGTATTTATTTACTTTTCAGTCTGAATCTCTTGAGGACAGCTTTATTCAGAAACAGTCTTAAAGAGCTGAAGCAGATCTTGAAGTTACCTTTTATCTTAATGCAGCCTAGATGTATTCAACCAAATTTGGTTTTCAAATGTTTTTGGTAAATTGATATTCTGTAGTCACACATTTTGGATTACATCTTTGCTTATTGAGAAATTTCCTGTTTTATGACATCAGGATCATCTACAGTGTGCTTAAAGACCATTATATCTTTGAGGCTAAAGGGATTCTGTTGTACTCTTTCTTCTCTACCTTATGCAAGGAACTTGATGGCAATTTTGAATCTGTTCTCTTCCTACTCTGAACTTTGGGGAAAGCTCTGTGGACAAGACAGGAAAGAAAAGGGGAGACTCCTCTAAAGTAACATTCTTAGCAGTCATAGCTTTACCACCTCTCCTAATGGAGGATAAGCTGTTGGGTGAATGTCTTATAACAGTCACTGTATTGTTTTATTCTGTTCTTAACACATACACTGTATGTGGAGTAATGGTTTAGGCTTCTTGCTAAGTCACTTATTTCAGGTGGTTCATTTAGCATCAGTTTCTTATGATTCGGTACTGAAAGAGTCTAGGGATCTGAGGTCATTGAATCCTGGGTCCACAGTTAGTTCTCGTGGGAATAGGTGGTGAGTTTTTGTGTCGTTTGGAAATAGCCAGATGAGCTGGATGGCTCTCTACTAATCATTGACTTTTAAAAGCCTTTATTATGAAAAAATAAATAGGTAACGCTAGACGTACAATATACTAATGAATTGTTGCAAGGCCTTTAAACCCTGCCCTGGTCAAGCATTTTTTGCTTTGCCCAGAACTCTGCATGTGCCACAGCCAATCACAACATCCACACTGCTCTCAGGAGTAGCCATTGTCCTGACTTACAGTCGTCATTTCCTTGTAGTGTTACTAGCAAATGCTGTTTACCTAAGCATTACAGTTTAGCCCTACCCTATTCCGTTTTTATCTAGCATGTCTCTTTTTTTCAGGTTTCCCCTCCATCTTTTTCTTCCCCTTGCAAGTTACCTGGTGAAGAACCTGAGCAGTTTGACCTATTGTTTCTCTGCAGTGTGTATTTGGCAGATTGTATATTCTTGCTGTAATTCAACATTTCCTGCAGATGGATCCAGAGGCTTGACAGAACCAGAGATAGGTCCTTTGACAGGATTTAGGGTGATATTTTACAGGCGATACCCTGCAGGTGGTACTGCACTTTTTATTCTGGAGTCACATGGGATCTGAATGCTTGCCTTAAGGCTTTTTGTTGCCAGCACCATTAAATCTTTGAAGGTTGCAAAATAGTGATATTCTACCAGTTCATTAGCTGAGATATGTATGTACTTTCTCTCATTTACTATTTGATTACCTAACTTCTATAGGAAAGATGAGGAAAGAATGTTTGCATTTTTCCTTTCAGTTACCAGTTTTCAAGACAAAGTACCATCCTTTGAGGGTAACCAATTAGTTTTTTAAAATATTAGTATTGGAACCAGGGCTGAGTTCTTAGGTGCAGAAATGGAAGAAACAAGATTGAACCTTCAGGAATACAAGCGCAGGCAAGGCTTTTATTGGGACTTCTGATTGAGGCAGAAGGGAAATGCACCCATGTCTAAGAGCTTGTCAGGCCAGTGGCTTCTAGAAAAAGCAAAAAGGGTAAATATAGAAAAAGTTCCCTTCAAAAGTTTTTATCCAGATCTGCCCTGCACATAAGGAATTCGAACTTGAAAAGAGTGTCTGGTCCTGACTGGTCACTGCCTGAGCTGTTATAGGAGCTCATTGGTCAGCTTTTAATTATTAGGGTAAGGAGAATGTTTCAGTAGGCTGACCCTTGCCTACCTCTGTGTCAGTAAGATGTATTTGTAGCTGTTGTAGTTTTAATTCTGGGTTTGCATATGAGCCATGGCTCCCCACTTAGGACTTTGTTTTTGTGGAGAAACCCTAAAACTCCTTACCAGCCTTTGATTTTGCTGTTCACTTTTGAGTGATGATCCCCAACTATTTTGGTATTAACTAGAACATTTAAACATTTAGGTTTCAAATATAGTTGGCAAAATGCAATTCTGTTGAAATTGACACTTAAATTGTCCTTTTGGTGGTTAAAGGAGAGGCTGTTTAATTGATTTTTGGATTGTAGATACAAACCTAGTTATTTTGGTAGCGTACTTGGTATTGGTATGACAAGATTTTGTTTGGCTCATCTGGTTTATTTTTTGTCTCAAAATTAAAATAAGACATTTTTTTCTCCCAAGAAGTCTGTTTTTCTTTTTAGGTTGAAAATGTTATTTCAAGACCATATGTTAGGAAGTTAGGATTCTTTCTCTCTCACTCTCTCTATGTATGTATACATGTGTATTTGTATGTTTATGAATAAAAGATGAAATATATTCGTACAACTATTACATACATACAGTATTTATATGTGTTGGAGACCAGAGTAGAATTAAGGCCTTATTGGCCTCCTCTATAGGCACAAAGGAGAAGCTGCACTCAGGGATGATTGCATATTGGGGAAAAGTTAAGACAGCTGAGGTTAAGTTGCTTACCACAGTAGGTACTAAGGGATATTGGAAAGCAGGTGAATCTTGTGTTATGCCTTATGCCCGTGTTTGGGTGAACAAAGGAAAGATGAGTCAGAAGCTGGGGGCTCCTCTGCCTACGGACTAGTGGTGAGAGCCCTCGGGTTGCCCACTTGTTAAACTGATGAGGTATCTCTTTCACATTGGTCCCTGTTCATTCCCTGGGTCAGGGAGAACAGAAAACAAAGTAGCTGGTCTAGGTCCAGGTCCTGGAGCAAGGCGTGCTGGGTGGGGTTGGCTACAGGTGGTGCCCCAGTGTGTTCCTCACCTATAGTTGTCGACCAAACAGGGAATTGGAACTGGGGAAAAGCTGAGACCCAAACGGAGACCTGAGACCAGGTTGTGTATGACAATATTTTTAGAGATTAAAGTATATTTGTATATTTAAAGTTAAAACATGAAAACACACTGATATACTTTGAATTCAAATTTAGGATAACAAGATTTTTTTAGTTAATCTTTTAAGTACTTGCTCTCCTTTAATAGTCTTAGTTGTCAGGGATATGGGATGCTAGAGTTCGAATGTCCCATAATTACTTATCCTGTATTAAACACACAACAGTCTCAGAATAATAGTGCTAATAATTCTACCACCAATATGATTATTTAAAGGTAAAACTTTGATTGCGTTTTATCTGTCCATGCACTGTAAAACCTTGGGCCCCCTCCCCCATATTAACGTCTTTTTCAGCGGCCCAAATAGATACTTTATTTGATCTGGAGAATACATCTTTCAGATTAATTTTCTGTATCTGGATATGCTTGCCCCTCTGTTACAGATTATCTCTGTTATCCAGTGTCTCCCTTGAGCTTCTCCAACGGACCTCATTCTCTAACCCTCCATGTAGAAATCCTGTCTTTTTTATAATATTATCTTAATTCATTTTTTCTGTTGCTGTTACAAAGTACCTGATTTCTGGGTTATTTATTAAGAACAGAAGTTGATTTGGGTCATGATTCTGGAGGCTGAGAAATCCAAAAAGCATGGTGCCACATCTACTTGTGTGGTACTAATCGCATGTGCTTGGTTACTGCATCAGATCAATCGTGGAAGAGGCTATCACGTGGGGGAGAGAGAATTGTCAGCTCAGGTCTTTCTTTCAGAATCATCAGTCCTGTCATTTAGGTCCAACCCTTGATAACTTTAATCCTGACTACCTCATCTCCAAAAATAAGAACTAAGATAAGTCTTGTAAAGGTTCAATATCCCAATGATGAATGTAACTGTACACCTGAATTGTACCAACAAACTTAATAAAGATTTAAAAAACCCAAATATTGTCAGTGTTTGAATTTGGGATTTTTGGTACTGGGGATCGAACTGGGGACCTTGTAGTTGCAAAGCAAGCAGTGGCACCACTGAGCTAAATCCCTGGCCCTTGAATTTTGGGATTTTAAAAATTTTTATGTATGTATGTATGTATGTATCGGGAATTGAACTCTGGACCTTGCACTTGGGAGGCAGGCAATGGAACCACTGAGCTAAATCCCCAGACCTGAATTTGGGATTTAAGGTTCAACCTAGAAAATGTATGAAACACATTGAAAGTACAGTGTGTATTTGCTTTTCCATTTTTAACTTTTAGGCTTTTTTATATATTATTATTATTATTATTATTATTATTGTTATTGTTATTATTATTATTATTTTCTTACATGAGATTTGTTCATTTTCAATAAGCAGTTTCTTCCCACCGGAGTTGAGTGATGTAAACATTTGCCACTGTGTTTTGCAAATATTTGCCACTGTGTTTTGCCTTTAGGATTTAAACTTGTGGTGCATGAAGAGTGTTTCCTTTCTCATTAGATTTACCCCTCCTTCTTCACATAGTACTGGGGATTGAACTCAGGATCTTCACACTGAGCTCTATATCCTGAGCTCTTGTTTTCTTTTGAGATAGGGTCTAAGTCACTAAGTTTTCTAAGCGAGGCTCAATCTTAGGAAGTTTCTGTGCCTCCTCTTCCAGCGTGGTGGGATTATAGGAGTGTGCTACCACACCTGGCTAATTTATGGTTTTGTGTTAATATCATGGTGTTTAGTCTGCCAAAAATCATCCTTTGTGTACTGCTTGTAATTTAATCTTCATGTTGATCCAGTTGGTAAATCTCATGACACAGTCTTTCTTTGTTGAGGTTGCAGTTTCTCTTATAGATTAAAACTTGAGTCCTGACTTAATCGGGTGTTGCGATTTAGGAAAATTTTAAAGTACCACATTTTCCAGTCTTAGTTGGTTGTCATTAATGTCAAGTAGCTATGGTCTCTGAGATCACCACAAACATTGAATAAGCAAAATGTGAACCAATGCTGTTAAATTCCTGTGAACTTTTGGTCCTGTTTTCATTGATCAGTAATATGCTTGTCTAGCACCTGTTTCTGTTTGAAGACCCCCCCCCATTTGGTATCTTTAAATTGACTTATTTATCCACTTTGAATTTATGGCCAACATCACATTAATTTTATGTCTGAATCAAGTTACTTTATGTATATTTTCTTAGGCACATCCTACCCTTTTTGTGGTTAGGAGCCTTTGCACTTTGAGCAGTGTGTTTGGGGGCCATTTCAAGTAGAAAAATCAAAAGGTATAAAATATAAAAATGTGCCATTTAATAGACAGTAGAAAGGACGTGTTTACAGTATAACAAGAAGGTGCTGAGCCACTGAACGAGGAGGTACTGTCACCTTGTCAGATCTCAGCTGGGAATGTGAGCTTGGACAGCTAATTGTATTTGCCATTTTTCACCTATGAGAATTACTGTGATTTGAGACATACCAATAAATTTTAGGGAGTAGTCAAATTTTCAAATACATAATGAAGATCTTCTGTTTCTTCTAAAGCATCCAAATTTTAGGCATTTTGATAGTTTATCATTTGATTTTAGGGAACACTCAGAGTCTTCCTATCTCCTGGTATTTAGAAAAAATTATCTGTAAAATACATATTTATGGTAAATTTAGAAATAATTCATTTATTAAAATAGGGTTCTTAGTCTAGGCCAGGATAATTCCAGCCTTTCTCAAGTCATTAAGCTGATTAAAAATGAGCATAGGTTTTGTGTGCTTAGGAAGGAGTATAGTCACGCCAACAGTTTTGGTTAACAGTGGACCATATATATGATAGTGGTTCTGGAAGAATATAATGGTCAGTAATGCTATAGCCCTCTTAAGTTTGTGTAGGAATACTACTCTGATCACACAAGGACATAAATCACAATGATGAATTTTTCAGAATATATCCCCACGTTTCAATAAAAGAAAAGGTAAGATAACAGGAAAATGTGCAACAGATGAGAACAAGTGAGTGAGCTTGCTTCAGCAGGACATGCACTAAAATTGGAATGATGCAGAGATTAGCATGGTCCCTGCACAAGGATGACATGCAAATTTGTGAAGCGTTCCATACTCTTTAGCTAAACTTGAAAACAGCCCAGTTGCCCATCAGCTGGGGAGTGCGTGAAGAAGATATGGTTTTTTCTACAAAATGGAGCACTACACAGTCATAAAGAATGAGAAACTAGAGTCATTTATAGTTAAATAGATGGACATTGAGGCCGTACTTGTAAGTGAAATAAATAGGACACATGTAAATACTGAATCATTTTTCTGATGTGAAAAGCTAAAGTGGGGGCCGGGGATTTAGCTCAGTGGTTCCAGTGCCTGCTTCACAAGCACAAGGAACTCAGTTCGATTCCCGTGCTATGATTTCGAGACCAGCCTGGGCTACATAGTGAGTTCCAGATAAGTCTTAAGAGACCCTGTCTCAAAAAAAAAAGCTAAAGAGTAAATAGGGCTCAAATTGTGTAATTGATAAAGTGAAATAGGAAGAAAAGGGCTAAAGGAGTAGGGGAAAGGAAAGAATGGAAAAGTGAAAATATGAGAAAAGGAAAAAATGGAAACAAAAGGTTTGTAAATAGGGAAGGGTGGAGGGGGGTGAAGGGAGGGCAGGGAGTGGGGTAAAATAAGAACCAAGATACTTCATGTAAAAGTATAAGATCTCAATGACGAATATAATGGTTGCATACCTAAAATGTACCAATAAACTTAATGGGAAAAAAATAAGAACAAGTGAGTCACTTTGGAAAAAATAGTACAGCCTGGGGATGTTGTGGTGGGGCAGGGGTAGTAGAGGGTTGCCTTGGTGCTGATCCCTCATTCCACACTGAAAGGGAGGGGGGAAATGTAGCATGTAATTGTGCAATTTTATGGGGAAAAGTAGATGCAGTACCAAAGGTCCTGTCAGAAGCCTTGCTTGCTGTTCTTTCGCAGGAGATGAGGAACTTCAGTTTCTTGCTTCACCTGTACAGTTTCTTTTTCTCTGACATTACTTTCCCCCCCTTTTAACAATTGTTTTGCTTTGCTGTCTCTTGACACTGGGTCCTGCTGTATGGCTCAGGACAGCCTTCTGTTTTCTCTAGTCCAGGCTGGCCTTGAACTTGCCAACCTGCTTCAGCCTCCTAAATGCTGGAATTACAGGCATGTACCACTGTGCCAGCTGATCTTTAATTATAGTTTCTTTTAATAAAAATAGAAATAATTTTATTTTACAATTCTTTTATTATGAACAACTTTCTTCATCATTGTGTACAGTGTTACATAACTACATTCTAAAAGAATGACTACATTATATGAATGAATAATTGTGCCGTTTTAATGATTATTTATATTATTTGATTTCTCCCTCTACTAACCAAATATACAATGGCATACTTAGCAAGTATTTTTATTGGGTAAATCTGTAAGTGTGGGACTGCAATAGGCAAAGGATACTCAAATTTAAAATTTTACTAGATAAGGCATTGAGATTGGCTTCAAAATACAAGTTGGTTATACCTTTCCTACAATGAATGTGTTTCTGCTTTAGCCTTGTTACTATTATATTTTAATCTTTTTACTTTGTTGTTGTGTAGGTAGAAATAAATACAGTCATCCCTCCATATCTTGGCTTTCTGCATCCATAAATTCAACTAAGGGTGAAAAATAGTGGAGGAAATTATGTTTGTATTGAACATATATACAGACATTTTTCTTCTAATAAAGTGTAACAGTTATTTGCATTGTATCAACTGTAAATGTCATAAGATTATTTAGTGGGTATGATGTTCATAGGCTATATTTAAATACTCCTCCGCCCTTTCATTGTGGTATGAGGGATCAGACCCAGGCAACCCTCAAGTATGTGAGGCAGGGTGCTGTATTCCCTGACCCCTAAAATATCCCCCCGACTATATTTTGTTTTTTCTTAAGTGACTTACCTCTTCTTATCTGTTGTTCATTTTTCTGATTTTTATTATCTTTCATCCTTTGAAATACACATAAAAAGTTGAGAAGTGGGGACATTGTTTTCTTTACCATCCTATCACCACACCGTTGAAGAGATTCTGAAAATTTTATTCACTTAATGTATGTAACTTCTGACTTTCATACATGTTGCTATCTCTTTAAGTTTAAGTTTTTAATAAATTCAAATTGACAAGTATCTTCATTTTTGGATCTTAAATATTTCCTGTTAACTTCTGGGTGTGTGTGTGTGTGTGTGTGTGTGTGTATGTGTATGTGTGTGTGTTTAGAGATGTATTTCACCTCCCACCCCCACCCCCCATACATGGTAGGAGTGAGCCTTCCTTTGATTCTTCCTTTTTCACCATGTCTGATATATGTTGTATATATGAGTTTGTATACTTATTTTTTTTCCCTTCTCTAATTTCCTTTCCACCTAATCTTTGAGTGGAGATACAGTTCTGGCAAGATAGGATTGCCCTGTGTAAGAAAACACAAGATGTACAAATTTGCAGATTTTAAATGAGTTTTTCATAAATTTCATAGAAACTTTTCCACTTAAAAGCTTACACTCGCTGCTGTTTTTTTTTTAATGTAGAGCACTAATACAAAACATGATAGGCACTCAGTAAATAGTTTGTTATAATTAAATGCTTTGTTCATATTAAATATCAAGTTGATTCATATTGAATATCAACTTCTCAATTTTGAGTTGAAAAGTGAGTAAAATTTCTTTTGCAAATAGTGTATGGTTTGTTTCTACTCTAATTATTATATACTAGGAAACGGGAAAAATCCCTTTTTGAGTCAAGATAGACCTCATTACAGTTTTATGAAGTATACAGTAATTAATATGGAAGAACATGCACTTACACAAATGATAATGTGATATGTTCTGGTATGTCTGTACACCTGTAAAATCACGACAACAATCAATGTATATATTCACCATTCTTGGAGACCCCCGTGGTGGGTTCCAGTCTCCTGTTCAGTTGCCGTGCAAGGCAAGAAGAAAAATTTAGAGACAGATACGGGGAGCCAGGATGGCCAGTACTGAGCAAGCAGCAAAAGACCCCTTTGGTCAGTGAAAACCACTGATACTTATTGGTGACATCATAGGTTAGGGTGAGAGGCCTACATGTGGTTGCTAGGGATACATTGCTAACATAGGCAGGGCTTATAAGAGAAAAGACAAATCATTCTTGAATTTGGGTGCAAGTCACTGACCTCAGCTGCTATGTTATTTAGTCATGTAGGCTTTGCTTGGACTTATTTCTCAAAACAAGCCAATTCTGGGGTTAACTCTTTACAGCCTGCTCTGCTCACAGCCTGCTTTGGGCGTAATCAGTGCTGTGGTCCTCTGTACATCATTCCTGACCCTTCAGTTCTCCCCATTTTTCCATCTGTTCTTCACTCTTAGCAACCGTTGTTTTGCTTTCTATAATAGATTATTTGCATTTTGTAGAATTTATATATAAATAACGTACTTTTATATCATGTGCTTTTTGTTGTTTTTGGTCTACTTTTACTCTGCGTACTTTGAGATTAGTCCATGTTGCTTTTCAGTAGTTTATTCCTTTTGTTTCTGAGTAGTTTTCCACTGTCTGGATACACCAGCATTTGTTTCATTCATTTACCTGTTAAATGTATGGGCGTTGTTTCCAGTATTTGGTTATTGTAAATAAAGCTGCTATGAATAGTCTTTTTGTGGGCATAGCTTTTATTTCTATTGAGTAAATGTCTAAGAATGGAATTAGTTTTACAGTAAGTATTATGTTTAACTTTTAAAATTGCTGAAACTGTGTTGCAAAGGTTCTGTTCTTCATTCCTGCTAGATGTCTTTGACCCATTCACTTACCAAGCTATAGTAGCATGGTGAGTCTTTTAAATTCAGCCATTCTTCTAGATTTGTAATGCTGGCTCAGTATGGTTTTAATTTGCATTTCCCTGATGCCTGCTGATGCTGAGCATCTTTTCATATGATTATTTGCCACTTCGCTAGTGAAGTGTCTGTTCAGATCTTTCTTTCCTTTTGAAAACTGTAGTGTTGTACTGAATTTTGAGAGTTATTAGTCCTTTTTATATTCCTTTAAAGGTCAGTACAGACAAGATAATTTATAGACAATGGAAATATATTTGGTCGTGGCTCTGGAGGCTGCAAAGTCCACGATTAAGGGAAACTGCATCTGGGGAGGCCTGTCTTGATGTGTGTTGTTGGGAGACATTCTAAGGCCTCAGTGGCCCCTTGATGTTACGATACTCAGAAGCAAGATTACAGTAGCATAAGATCCTCGTGAAGTCGGGATTATCAGCTGCCTGTGGAGTCATCTGATGCTCTCTATGAACCATTTGGGTAAATAGTGGCAAGCTTGTCTTGTCTTTGTCTTTGCCCACTCTGAGGCTCTGACCTCCTAGGCCCCCATATATTTTGAAATTATGCAAGTCTCTATTTTCTTTTTTTTTTTTTATTTTTCCCTTGCTGTCCCACTTTCTAGGCAGTCAAAGGATTGACCAGCCTCCAGTCATGTGTAACATGGCAGGGGCATCTCATAGCAAAAATTCATGTGTGAGAGAGGGCGTATAGAGACCAGATTCCCATGTATAAATCCTCCCCTGAATTAACATTAATCCTCATGATCTGAATACCTCGCGTTAGCTCTCTTAACATTGTTCCGTTTTGGGAGGATACATCCATAGCTTTTATAAATCCTCAAGTTACGTGATACTAGTCTTTTAGTTTTGTTGTTTTTCAAAGTAGTTTTGGTATTTCTAAAGTCCCTTTGATTTCTGTATGAATTGTTTTCTTCATGATACTTGGGATGGAACTTGGAGTGTCGCTCAAGCTCTGCCTACATTCTACCACAGAGCTGCATCTCTAATGCTCTATATGAATTTTATATCAGCTTGTTGATTTCAAGTCTGCTGGCATTTTGATTGGGATTGTGTTTTGTCAACTATTGGTGGAGATCTAACATTTTAGCAGTGCTGTTGAATTTTCTGATCTGTGAAGCTTATATCTTTGCTTAGTATTTGAATTTCTTTCAGCATTGCTTTATAGTTTTCAGTGTATGAATCCATTATATTTATTGTCAGGTTTACCAGTAAATATTTCATAATTTTGATGGTATTGTAAATGGTATCATTAAATTTCAGTTTCTCATTGTTCATTGCTTGTATTTAGAAAACACTTCTTTTATTGCTGTGGTATCTCATGCTTGCATTGGTGGCATTTTTGTACCTTCAATAGAATTTTTATATAATTGTTAGGCTATTAACAGATAAAAACATTTTTATTTCTGCCTTCCAAGTCATTTCTTTTTTTTTTTAATGGCTTGACAAAACAATTTATGTATTTATTTTTTTCTCTGTTAAGTTTGTTGGTACATTTAAAGCAAGCATCTAAGTCATTTCTTTTCCTTTTTGCACTGGCTAGAACCACCAGTATAACATTGAATTAGAGTGGTGAGAATGGACATTTTTGCTTTGTTTGTGATCTTAAGGGAAAACCTTTCATTTCTTTACCCCAAGATTTTTTTTTTTTTTTTTTTTTTTTTTGGTACAGGGAATCATGGAACTCAGGACCTTGCACTTGCAAGGCAGGCAGTGGCAGGTGGCACCACTGAGCTAAATCCCGGCCCACTTTACCCCTAAGCTTTTTATGGATGGTCCTTATCAAGTGAAGAAGTTCTATAACTGAGTAGCTGCTGCTCCTTCTTCTTTTGTTTTGTTTTTTTGAAATCAGACACAGTTGTAGTGTTTTGTCCAATTAGACGGTTATAAGAACTTTCTTTTTTAGACTGTTAAAATAAATTTGCATTGATTTTTGGAATATTCAGGACACCTTGATTTTCCTAGCATGACCTATACTTGTTCATTGTCCTTTTAATTAATAAATAAATAAATATATATATACATATATATATATATATATAGAGAGAGAGAGAGAGAGAGAGAGAGAGAGAGAGAGAGAGAGAGAGAGTGTGATTATAGAGAGAGAGAGAGAGAGAGAGAGAGAGAGAGAGAGAGAGAGAGAGTGAGTGTGAGACAAGAGAAGAGACGAGATGAGACATCACACATGCACACACATACACTGGGGATGTTACCCTAATGGAACACTTTTAAAAATGTGCTTTATGTTCCTGATTTTCACTACAGACCTGGTTAAAAGCCATCAGCAGTACTCATGCCGCAGCCTGAACTTTGGACTGCTTTTGAATTTCCTCTGTCACATTAATTAGTCCAGTACACTTAAATCTCAGTCTCTTAAAAAGTCTCAGGACACAAGCAAAATGTATACAGATTTTCTGCCAGGACATACCACGCATGGTCTGTGTTCCAACTGCCATTGGAATCCTTGTTCTCAGTTGAAACATCCTGACTCTGACCAAAATCCCCCATTAAGCTTGGCTTACATCATCCTAGGGCTTTTCTAGCCAGCATCTCCAAACCTTTCTGGAGTTCTTTCACAAACCAGATCTGAAGGCTTCTAAACTGTGTGTTCAGGTCATCACAGCAGTGACCCTGCTCCTCCTGTTAGCAAAATCTGTCTTAGTCACTTTTCTGGGGACAAAATGCCCACTGCCCACATGTTTTGGCTCCCCTTTGTAAAAGTCTCAGGGCATTGTTGGCAGGCTGAAATGTAGAGCCAGCATAGTGGAAGAACCTGCTGCAGAGGAACGCTGTTCACATTTTGGCAGCCGGGTAGCAAAGAGATAGCGTGGAGCCTGGCAGGGCGGGAGACCCTTTAAGTTCCACCCCATGTGTCCTGTTTCTTCTGACCAGGCCCACCTCCTTACAGCACATTCAGCTTTCACAGACTTGAGATTTTTGCGGGCCACATCCCAGACCTAAACCTTAACACATGATGTTCGAATGTTGGACTTAAGTCACTACTTACAAAGTCTTCATACTTTTTATACTTGGTACCTAAGGTCATTTTAAAGGATAAATTCCTTTATGTTCTTAAAGATACAGTCTCAGTATTGATACATTGCTTTAATGTGCAAAGAAGAGAGTTCATAACTTAATGATTAGCAGTAGATTGTTTTGGAATAGGTAAGATTTCCCCTGTTAACCCCTTCCCACAATTTTGGATAATGATACAAGTTGCTGATCAAAGCTTTTAAATCATGTTCAACCCACAGCCCAAATTGTGGAGACGACTTTGTAATTCTTCTTTTTTTTTTTTTTCTCACAGGAAAAGTAAGAAGCTTAAGCTCATCTTTGTGGTCATTAACTCACTTGACAGCTTTGCATCTTAGTGACAATTTTCTGTCCCGCATTCCTTCAGACATTGCCAAGCTCCACAATCTGGTGTATCTGGACCTATCTTGTAATAAAATCCGTAGTTTACCGGCAGAACTCGGAAACATGGTTTCACTCAGGTATGTAGAATCTACTTAGTACATAACAAGTATATACCCCCTAAAATAAATACAGCATTTATTTTGTTAGGAAACGAGACAGTCATATTTAAAGAAAAGTAAACATAACTATATTCTTTTTTTTTAAGGTTTTCTAGAAAGATTGAATATCAACTTAGTAAGTAGATGACATGATTGAAAATTGTATTGCTGTGTTTTGTGTAACATACTTTTTGGAGCAAAATTTTTGGACAAAGTGAGATAAATAGCTACAAGGCACTTGTATTATCTCATATACTTTTGACAAAGACAGTTGAGTGTACCATGTATCTTTAATACTCAGTCCAGTTTACCTGCCTTTTATCCATAGTTTTACCAGATTCTTTGCTGGCTTCTAGGAAAAAGGAGTAAGGGTTTTGTGAGAGTTTTTTGGCCTGCATTGCTCCAGTCCAGCCTTTTCATATTTTTCTAGGCTCAGTTATTGAGTATATATTACAGCCATTTTTGATCTCTGAGCAAATTGACTTACAGGGCCTGTTTTCCTGTGTGATGTATTTGGAAAGAAATAGGAACCTATTCAGAACTAGTTTTTTTGTTGCTCAGATGAAGGCTCTGATAAGGATGGTCAAGGTTTGTTTAAATTTCAGAAAAGGATTATAGAAATGATTCTCCTTTACACTTAAAATTTGGTAAACAAAATTTAGTATGGGAAATTACCCTTATCTTAGTATTGAGCATCTGATCATTTGTTTTGTGGTTAACTGCACAGAACATTTATTAAAATAGTAATTAGTAGCTAATACAGATGCTGTTTTTAAAGTGAAATCTCAGTAAACATAGGAAAATAGTATTCATAAATTTGATTAAATGTAGCTATCATTAACCCTTTGAGTTGACACTATTTGATAATTTTTTAGTTCACTTGTTAGGTGTAAGTATTTCCTCTGTCTTACACACGTGTAATAGACTGCATCTGTACCAACCAGTGCTGCTCACTCTGCTCTGGAGTGGTGCCAGTTTTCAGGCTGTCTGTTTCCAGTCTACACAGTAAGAGAAATACTGCAATTGAGAATTATTTTTACATATCTGTTGATTTAAGAATTTAAAAAATTTGAAGTTTGTGTTTTATCTTTTTTTAAACTTTTGTTTTTCTGACAGTTTGTTTTTTCTGTATTTTACAAAAAGTTGGTCTGTAACAGTTATTTTTAAGAAGCCCAACAGTAGATATTGGAATGTAATGCAAAGTTTTATCATTCTTGGATATTTATAGTCCTAAAAATTACATTGTTGCTTTTCATTATTAACAGTTAATGTGTCGTCTTACTTTGGCATTTTTATATCTACAGGGAGCTCCGTTTAAATGACAACCTGTTACGAGTTCTACCTTTTGAGCTTGGAAAACTGTTTCAGTTGCAGACTTTATGCCTAAGAGGTATAACTTCCATCTTTGTGCTTCTTACAGTTTTATGTATGTCTTTGAATTTAAAGAAGCCCTGTGAGAATCCTTTTACCAGATTTTTTGCAGGCTCACTGTTTGCCAGACTTCATAGGTTTTTAGGTATGTCTCAGTGGCTTTCTTACTTAATGTATTTGGTAGCTGTAGGCTCTTTTTTTTTTTTTAATTTTTGTATTGGTATTGCAGATTGAACTCAGGGTCTCAAACTAAACTACATTCCTAGCTTTTTAATGTATTTATTTAATTTCAAGACAGGGTACAGCAGTATTACCCAAGTTATTACCCCATAGTAGCTGGGGTGTAGGCGTACACCAAAATGCCTGGCTCTGTAATCTTTCTGCTCCTAGTCCAAGCTTGTTCTTCTCGAGCCTTTGTTTTAATCAGCGCTCTGTATGCCCTGGTGATATATTCCTTGTGTGTACCTTCCTCCAGTACAGACGCTCTTTTATTTTATTTATTTTTATTTATTTTTTTTGGTACCGGGGATTGAACTCGGTTCCTTGCGCTTGCAAGGCAGGCCACCAAACCGCTGAGCTAAATCCCCGGCCCCAGACACACTTTTATTGAGCTTTATTTCCAGGGAGGCCCCCCCACCAACCTTTATTTTTAGACAGGGTCTTGCTAAATTGCCCAGGCAGGGCTCAAACTTTCAGTCCTCCTGACTCAGCCTCCCTGAGTGCTAGGATTGCAGGTGTGAGCCACTGTGCCTGGCTTACTTTTTTTTTTTACTTTATTGTTCATATATGCATATTTATAATTTGTATACATATATATAATGTACATATAAAAACACAACCTTTTTCCCTTATGTTCAAATTTCAAAAAAAATGATTCTTACCAGGCCTGGTGGGGCATGCCTGCACTCCCAGCACTTGGGAGGTAGAGGCAGGAGGATTTCCATGAGTTCAAGGCCAGCCTGAACTACACAATGAGACCCTGTCTCAAAACAACAAAAACAAAGAAACGGGCTTATAAAGCACTGAAGAAAACAGTAAGATCTATTAAGACCTACTAATAAAGATGAGAAATTGGGAATATACTTTTAAGCTTGGTTTATGAGCCCTTGACTAATATGTTAGAAACCAGGGTCATAAGGTCCAGCAAGAACTATTACAGAAAAAAAAATGTTTGTTGTTGTTGTTACTGTTGTTTCTGGTTTCACTGTGTGGCCCAGGCTGGCCTTGAACTTGCACTTCTGCGGCCTTAACTTCCCAAGTGGTGTAATTACTACAAGTATATGGCATCATAGGTGTCTGAAATAGTTGTTTTTAAACCAGCAAAATTGAAAGTGATATTCCAAAAATATCTCAAGACTTGTAATTTTTTTAAAAATCAGATTGATTCTTCGCTGGTGTTGGCCAGGTTACTGTACTACTAGTATTGTTTCTAAAACAGTTATTCCTTCAAAAATTGCATTCCTGTTTCTTTAAAATGTAGTTTAAAAGATGAGCTTTTATTTTTATAATCCACCTTATGTATTATAAAAACAATTTAGAAAAATGAATGAAAAGATTATATTCAACAGCTATGTAAATGTTTCTTTGGTAAGTTTTTTTGGTATGTATTTGTCTGGCTCAGCCTTCTTAAAGGTCTGTGAAATATAAATTGAGGGTAACTTCTGTTAAATTTCCTGGTTCTAAATTTGAAGAACAGAAAAGTACTAAATGTAGCAAAGTATATCCATATACTGATCACCAGAATGAGGAGTGTTTTGTAATTTTCTAATTTTTAATGCCAAAGAAATTTTAATAGAATAGGAAAGCTACCATTGTATGTATTTTCAGCTCAAAGTTTTATAACCTTACAGTATATCCATATTCATTAAGGATTTGCAAACTTCACTTGAAGTTCTAGTCATCGTCTACACATTTTCAGACTGCTTTAGTGTGCATTAAATCCTTTGAAAGTACTTATACTCTTGAGAGGGGCAGGGTATTTTCTATGGCACCTTCATTTTTGATGACCCCTTGCTCTCCTGTTTCTGTTTTTATGGTTTTTGTTGTTGTTTGTTTGGAGCTTTGGTGCCTTACATTTTGATATTGTGCCAGCTGCTTCTTAAAACAGTTGTCATCCTTGTTCTTTGTGAAAATTTCTATCATTGGGGCTGGAGATTTCGCTCAGTGGTTCTATACCACCTGCTTCCCAAGTGCAAGGTTCCAAGTTAGATCCCTGGTACCACAAAAAAAAGAAAATTCTGTCATTGATTTCTTGTGGCTTCTGTTACTTGAAAGAGATAAAATGTATCACTTAATCCAGTTGTATCTTTTGGTACAATATATACTCTTCCAGACCTAAAGTATTTCTGCCTCATGAGTCAGTTCTTACCATTTTCTTTGAAGTTGATTGCATAGGGCCACAGGACTTCGACCTTTGGTACTCACCTCTTGCCCCTGTCCATCTCCCTTTTAAATTTTTACAGTATTTTGAAATACTTACAGATTCACATGCGTTGTAAGAAGTAATGCAGAACAGTATTTGTACCTTTTGCACAGTTTCTGCCAATGGTAGCATCTTTCAAAACTGTAGAGCAGTAACACAAACCAGAATGGTTGGTGTACAGAACATGTGTATGAATCTAAAAACTGAACTCAGAAGGCAGAATGGTGATTACCAGTAGTTGAGGCTGGAGATGGAGTTCTGATAGGAGGAATAGGTTCTTCTGATTTATGGCACAACATGGTGACTGTAGTTAATAATTCATTTTAAATGTCCCGGTTACAAAGAAGTAAGTATATAATATCATTTAGCTTGATTTGATCATCCTACAACCTATACATGTATTGAGGTAATCACATCATGCCTCTTAATTATGTACATTTATCAGTTTAAAAATGCAGAGCATCTACATCCTCAGAAGTTCTCCCATGTTGCTTTTTTATAGCTATGCTTACTTTCATTCCCCTCCAATTTACTTCTTAACTTCTAACAACCACCATTGTTGAGGATGTTACATAAGGGCCAGGGACTTAGCCCAGTAGTGTTGTCGCCTGCCTCACAAGGGCAGGGTCACTAATTCTATCCCCGGTATTAAAAAAAAAAAAAAAAAAAAAAAA